TCGGCCCAGGGCATGAAGTTTGAGGAGGGCGGCAAGTTTGAGGAGTTGCCGGGGGCAAAGATGGGCGAAGTGGTGGTTCGATTTCCACCCGAAGCCAGCGGCTTTCTGCACATTGGTCATGCGAAGGCAGCCCTTATCAATCAAAACTACAAGGTTAGTGTTACGCCTACGTCAACTTTCTACAGACATTGAGAGAGGCAATGATTACTTGCTTGTAATTTTACAGAGCAGGTGTAAATGAGTCCTACACGGTACAATTTCCTTTTCTTGCTGTTAAGATAGTCTGGAAACTGGAAGAAGCGACATTCTCTTGGTCTGTCCATATCCAGGCCTGTACTTTTATCTTAGTTGCGTCTTTAATCTTAGCCATTTTTCTGTCAATATCAGACGGCTGCGCATCACGGATTAAGCCATGGCTCTATTAGTCGGGAGAGAAATGCACTGCCTTGTGGCCCAGACACTTATTCAGAGACCACAACTTGTAGGACAACAGTTTATGACACAGACTTAACTTGTACTGGTGATAGCCTGATCTAAGCTTTTCAGTAGGTGAGGCGAATCAACAAAACATCACTTACAGCGGGACATCGCGACCCCTGTTCGATGGTCCTCCTCCTTGCTTCATGCGAACCTTTGCCTCCGGTTTCTTTTTTTTTCAAGGATACCTTCAAGGGTCGCCTGCTGCTGCGGTTTGATGACACCAACCCGACCAAGGAGACTGTGGAGTACGAAACAGCCATTTTGGAGGACCTGCCGCGCCTAGGTATCACCTGGGACTCGCTAACCTACACATCGGACTACTTCGATAAGATGGTAGACTTCTGCACCCAGATGATACAGGAGGGCAAAGCCTACGCCGACAACACTGACTCCGAGACCATGCGGACGGAACGGGAGCAACGCAAGGAATCTGCCTGCCGGAATAACGGTAATCTACTGTCCTCTTTGTCTGCCCAATTGCAGTGTAACCTCCCAGAGCACTGGGGTTCTTGGATAGCGTAGCTTCCTCTGGTTAGGGCCGGTACTCAACTGTTTGTCTGCGTCTGATTATACACAAGCCTAACAATGATAGTCGGAGGGGAAGGTCGAGTTGAAGGCTGCCACCGGAGAAGGGGAGCAGTCTGGGTCCCTCGCAGGGAAGGCCACTGTTAGGCACAAGTGTCTACAAAGGAGGTTTGAGCTGAAGAGCACCACCAGAGAGGGCACGACTACTACTCATCTTAGTTAGCAGGGCACATCACCTACAACATCCTTGACCAGACTCGAAGTAACCGCGTCGACG